TTGCACAACATTTATCGCCGCCAACCAAATTCAAACCTTTCCAGACCATTTGCATGGAAGTCCATTATGGTTTCCGAATTTTTAATTTTTTTGGACCTAACCCCTAACATGGGCAATACTAAAAAAAATGAATTGCGGTTGTATTGGTCCACAGACCTGATCATCATATGCCCATGTTCTCTGCTGCCATGTCCAGGCATAGATATGAGAGTATACTGTGTTTTATGCATTTCAAAACAACAATACACTCTGCCATCCTCAGGGTGACCCTGAATTTGACCGGCTTCACAAAATGTGGCCCCTCGTAAATCACCTTAACCAAAAATTTGCAGATATCTATACTCCCCAGCAAAATATCTGCGTTGATGAGTCCCTCATTCATTTTTCTGGCCGCCTTGCATTCAAACAATTTCTCCCCAGCAAGCATGCCAGATATGGTGTCAAGACCTGTGAGAGGGCAACATTGTCAGGGTCCTGTTCGCGGGGCAGAAGTTCTGGAAGATCTGGCATTTCTGCCAGTACGCTGCATGGCCGCAGAGGCACACATCAGCCTCAGTTTGGTGCCAGATGGCCTTTATAAGGAGGCTCATCACTTCCTTAAGTTGCTGGATGATCTCTAGCTCCCTGTGCCTTGTTCCTGTTTCCTGTTTCCTGAGTTATTGTGACCTGTGATTTCCTGATACCGACTCGGCTTGCTCCTGGACCTGTCTACTCTGCTTAACCTCTGATCTGACCTCAACTTGGCTTATGGATACTCTCTCTCTCTCACTCCTCTGTGTATGACCTCGGCTATCCCATCTGACTACGTCTGCTCTGATTCCCACCTGGTACATGACCTTGGCTTTAACCGGCTATCCAGTAAATCTCTAAATCCCGGAAGGGCTTAGATGCCTCACACAGGCGCCACCTGTCTGCAGACCTATCTCCGTACATCGGTTGTGCTTCTGGGTGGACCACCAACCAGCACTCCTATAGGCGACGTGTGCCACTTTGGGCCTGACTCCCACTGTCCCACTCTCAGGGGAGTCCGGAACTTAGCCGCAAGGGAAGCCCTTTCTCCATTGGCCTCCATCACCAGGTACGTAATAAACAGGCTATACATATAAGTTCCGGATTTATAAGGGAAAAGACAGTCACGTGGAGCCCCCCGGATGTCCAGACTACATGGGGAGTAGTGACAAGATAGTTTGGGACTTGGTGTCATCCTTTTTTCATATGGGGTAACACTTATACGTGGACAATTTTTATTCAAGCGTGCCACTATTTAGACATTTGTACAATTGTGCAACCTAATGTGTGCCCACCATTAGAAGTGGGTGGATGCAGGGCGGTATATTCTAATGGTGGGCAGAGATTTCTTCTCTTTTTTCATTCAGCCCACAGGCTGCGTCCAAAAAAAAAAGAACATAGCACATATACCCAACAAGGACCAGTGATGTACTGGTACATCACTGGACTTTGAATGGTTATACCAGGATGATGCCTACAGCTGCAGGCATCATCCTGCTATCGTTTTTTTTTTCAGCCGGCGATTGGCTTTCATTTAAAAGCAATCCTAGTGGCTTATTAGCTGCAGGATTGCTTTTACAAAAAGTGGGAGATGATTCCCCCCTCCCCCGCTTCCTTCCACAGCCTTCTCTGGCAGTCCCATGCCATCGGGGGAACCTGAGAATGCAGCCAGTGTTTCTGCCAGCTGACCATAGAGCTGATTGGAGACCGGAATAGTGCCAATCCTCTCTATAGTCTAAGAAATCGGAAGCTACTAGCATTTCATTACTTCAGTTTTGCAGGATATAAACAGTGCCATTTGTAAATTGGGAAAGCATCTGATCACACCAATCTTGGTTTGATTAGATAATGTAACGGCAGAGGAGATATCTACGGTCTGATAGACCCCAGATTTCTCAAAAAAGAATATATGACACTGCCCATTGAAGATATAGGGGATATTTGCATTCCATATGATAGCATAAAAGTGATATAAAAAAAATGAAAGGGACAGTGTAAAAAATAATTTTAAAAAATCAAAATAACTTAAAAAAAACCTGTGTGCGAAAGCAATATGTAAACAGCGGTTGCACCATGCATGTGAGGTATCGCTGTGAACATCAGATCAAGAGCAGTAATTCTAGCACTAGACCTCCTCTGTAAATCTAAATTGGTAGCTTTTAAACTTTCCCTATGGATATTAAAAACATATGCAGTTTGTCGCCATTGCACGGGGCATGTGCAGTTTTAAAGCATATCATGTTTGGTATCTATTTACTCTGTATACCATCATCTTTTATATTTTACAAAATAATTGCTCAATATATTGTGTTTTTGTGCATTGAAAGTAAAGAAAGTATGTTTTTTAAATTTGCATTTGAAAAATCGCTGTGGGAGTACTATGTGACATAAAAAATTGCAGCAACCACCATTTTATTCACTAGGGTGTTTGCTTTAAAAAATATATATGTTTGAGGGGTAAATTAATTTCCTAGCAAAAAATACTGCTTTTTTTTAATGTGAACAAAAAGTGTCAGAAAAGGTTTGATCTTCAGGTGGTTAGAAGAGTGAGTGTCAGGGCTCCCAGGTATGACCAGAGGTGTGTGACTGAAGCAGGGAAACGCAGACCTCAGATATGTTATAAACAATATAATTTATTAACACTAACAGTACAAACATAAACGCAGTGCAATACTAAACATAATACAGTGCAAACCAAACCAAACCACCCACAGATAACCGTACATACAAGCAAGCGTCGTCAGGCAGGCCGGGTCAATATCAATTGGGCAGGTAGGTACAGGGGGAGCAAGCGGAGAATGGTCGGGGTCACAGGCCAGGTTCAGCAGGTAGCAAGCAGCGTAGTACAGAGGGTCAGACAGAGGGATGGTCAGGGTCACAAGCCAGGATCAGAGCAGGAGAAGTCAGAGGGTCAAAGGAACAGAAACAGGATGCAGGACAGATACAGGGCCCAGGACAAACACAACACCAAGGCAGAGTCTGCAAGTCTGGCCATCCCTTAAATACACCAGTATCATCAGTTCCAGGTGTTAGCTGGCTGAAACGTTGAGTCTCTGATTGCTGGGAGCACCCGCTGGCCAGCCCTGGTACTGCAGATCAAAAGGCAGGTGAGTCCCACCATTGCTGGCCAGTCCATTCCTAACAGTACCCCCCCCCCTAAAGGAGCGGCCTCAGGACGCTCCAAACAGTCCTAGCTGGGCAAAAAATGTTCCACCGCCCGGGTCTGGCAAACTGGCGGGAAATCAAAGACTGGCACACCGGGCAGGACTCCGGGCAGCGGCACACCGGGCTGGACTCCGGGCAGAGGCACATCGAGCAGAGGCACACCGGGCAGAGGCACACCGGGCAGGACTCCGGGCAGAGGCACACCGGGCAGAGGCACATCGGGCAGGACTCCGGGCAGAGGCACACCGGGCAGAGGCACATCGGGCAGGACTCCGGGCAGAGGCACATCGGGCAGGACTCCGGGCAGAGGCACATCGGGCAGGACTCCGGGCAGAGGCACATCGGGCAGGACTCCGGGCAGAGGCACATCGGGCAGGACTCCGGGCAGAGGCACATCGGGCAGGACTCCGGACAGAGGCACATCGGGCAGGACTCCGGGCAGAGGCACATCGGGCAGGACTCCGGGCAGAGGCACATCGGATTACCAGGCGAAGCAGCAGGCAGCGGGCCACCAGGCGGAGCAGCAGGCACCGGGCCCCCGGGCGGATCAGCAGGCACCGGGCCCCCGGGCGGGGCTACAGGCACCGGGCCCCCGGGCGGAGCGGCAGGCACCGGGCCCCCGGGCGGAGCGGCAGGCACCGGGCCCCCGGGCGGGGCAGCAGCCACCGGGCCCCCGGGCGGGGCAGCAGGCACCGGGCCCCCGGGCGGAGCAGCAGGCACCGGGCCCCCGGGCGGAGCAGCAGGCACCGGGCCCCCGGGCGGAGCAGCAGGCACCACGGCCCCCGGGCGGAGCAGCAGGCACCGGGCCCCCAGGCGGGGCGACAGGCACCGGGCCCCCAGGCGGGGCGACAGGCACCGGGCCCCCAAGCGGGGCGACGGGCATCGGGCCCCCAGGAGGGGCGACGGGCATCGGGCCCCCAGGAGGGGCGACGGGCATCGGGCCCCCCAGGCGGGGCGACGGGCATCGGGCCCCCAGGCGGGGCGACGGGCATCGTGCCCCCAGGCGGAGCGGCGGGCGCCGGACTCCAGATGGAGCGACAGGTCTCGGGCCCTCAGGCGGAGCGGGCGGGCGCCGGACCCCCAGGTGGAGCGACAGGTCTCGGGCCCTCAGGCGGAGCGGCAGGCGCCGGACCCCCAGGCGGAGCGACAGGTCTCGGGCCCTCAGGCGGAGCGGCGGGCGGGCCCGGACCCCCAGGAGGAGCGACAGGTCTCGGGCCCTCAGGCGGAGCGGCGGGCGCCGGACCCCCAGGTGGAGCGACAGGTCTCGGGCCCAGGCGGCGCGCGGCAGGCGCGCGGACCCCCAGGCGGAGCGACAGGTCTCGGGCCCTCAGGCGGAGCGGCGGGCGCCGGACCCCCAGGAGGAGCGACAGGTCTCGGGCCCTCAGGCGGAGCGGCGGGCGCCGGACCCCCAGGTGGAGCGACAGGTCTCGGGCCCTCAGGCGGAGCGGCGGGCGCCGGACCCCCAGGTGGAGCGACAGGTCCTCGGGCCCTCAGGCGGAGCGGCAGGCGCCGGACCCCCAGGCGGAGCGACAGGTCTCGGGCCCTCAGGAGGAGCGACAGGTCTCGGGCCCTCAGGCGGAGCGGCGGGCGCCGGACCCCCAGATGGAGCGACAGGTCTCGGGCCCTCAGGCGGAGCGGCGGGCGCCGGACCCCCAGGTGGAGCGGCGGGCGCTGGACCCCCAAGCGGAGCAACAGGTCTCGGGCCCCCAAGCGGAGCGGCGGGCACCGAGACACCAGGCACGACAGTGGGCTCCGAGTCAACTGGTATGACCGCAGGCACTGGGTCAGACATTGGATGGTCTGGCTGGACAGCGGGCATCGGGTCACCAGGCATCAGGTAATTTGGCTCGACAGCGGGGGCACCGCGTCATCTGGCAAGGCAGTGGGCTCCGAGTCAACTGGTATGACCGCGGGCACTGGGGGTCAGACATTGGATCGTCTGACCGGACAGCGGGCATCGGGTCACCAGGCATCAAGTCATTTGGCTCGACAGCGAGCACCGCGTCATCTGGCAAGGCAGTGGGCTCCGAGTCAACTGGCATGACCGCGGGCACCGGGTCAGACATTGAATCGTCTGGCTGGACAGCGGGCATCGGGTCACCAGGCATCAGGTCATTTGGCTCGACCGCGGGCACCGCGTCATCTGGCAAGGCAGTGGGCTCCGAGTCAACTGGTATGACCGCGGGCACTGGGTCAGACATTGGATCGTCTGACTGGACAGCGGGCATCGGGTCACCTGGCATCAGGTCATTTGGCTCGACAGCGGGCACCGCGTCATCTGGCAAGGCAGTGGGCACCGAGTCACCAGGTACGACAGTGGGCACCGGGTCATCAGGTACCGGATTGTCTGGCTCGACAGCGGGCATCGGGTCATCAGGTATGACAGCGGACACTAGGTCACCAGGCATCAGGTCATTTGGCTTGCCAGCGGGCACCGCGTCATCTGGCAAGGCAGTGGGCACCGAGTCACCGGTACGACAGCGGGCTCTGAGTTAATTGGCACGACAGCGGGCACCGGATCAGGTACCGGATCATCTGGATCAACAGCGGGCATCGAGTCAACTGGCCTAATAGGATCGTCAGGCTGGATCAGTTCATCATGCTGGGTAGAGGCATTAGGCCGAGTAGAGGCTTCAGGCCGAGTAAAGGCATCAGGCCGAGTAGAGGCATCAGGCTGAAGAGAGGCATCAGGCCGAGTACAGGCATCAGGCCGAGTACAGGCATCAGGCCGAGTACAGGCATCAGGCCGAGTACAGGCATCAGGCCGCGTAGAGGCTTCAGGCTGAGGAGAGGCTTCAGGCCGCGTAGAGGCTTCAGGCCGCGTAGAGGCTTCAGGCCGAGTAGAGGCTTCAGGCCGAGTAGAGGCATCAGTCTGAACCACGGAAGGCAGGCTCACCGGTTTTGGATACTGGCAGGATGGTATTGGTTGGAAAGAATTTTCGCTTTTTTCTGGTTTTAACTACTGGAGCACTGCAAGTAAACGCAGGTCTGCAAACGAATGGAGCAGCTGGAGACAGAGAAGAACTGGAGGATGGAACAGGGGAGGGAGCAGTTGCTACAGAGGGCTTTTTTACAGGGTTAAAGGCAGGATAGGTGCAGCGAGTGGGAACAGGGTACTGACATGCGGTAGATAGCCAAGCATACTGGGCTGTAACTGGAGGAGCTGGTGGGAATACAGGAGTAGAGTTAGAAGCAGGGGACTGGGTCTTTGTAAGCTGACTGAGGCTGGGTGCAACAAGTCTGTCCATGTCTGCAGTATGGGTTGAACAAAGCTGAGCTTACACAAAGCCTGTCTGGTCAATGACTGCACTGCGTTTATACAATCTCTCAGTGTCTGTGGTGAACATGTGGAATAACGCTCCAGAAAGTAACCCACATCATCCTCTAATAACCACACCAGGGACTCTACCTGGTCTGCACTAAATGGTGGCAAAAATTCATCCCTGCATTCGGGGGAACCAGATGAAACCAACTCTGCACAAACCTCAATCAAAGGCTGCACCTCAGAGAACACTGTGCCCTGATCTACTAGAACATGAGCGATCCGTATACATTCTAGCAGTTCATCCGGGTATACTCCTTCAGAGTTTGATAAGCATACTCCCTGTCATCAAACACTAGCAGATATAAATACTCAACCTCCTCAAGATCCATCCTTCCCATCAACAAGCCAAGATGGCTTCCCTGTGCAGCCACTTCTGGTCAGGATTGGCCTTGGTGTAATGTCAGGGCTCCCAGGTATGACCAGAGGTGTGTGACTGAAGCAGGGAAACGCAGACCTCAGATATGTTATAAACAATATAATTTATTAACACTAACAGTACAAACATAAACGCAAAGCGGAGAATGGTCGGGGTCCACAGCAGGTTCAGCAGGTAGCAAGCAGCGTAGTACAGAGGGTCAGACAGAGGGATGGTCAAGGTCACAAGCCAGATCAGAGCAGGAGAAGTCAGCAAAGGAACAGAAACAGGATGCAGGACAGATACAGGCCCAGACAAACATCAACACCAAGGCAGAGTCTGCAAGTCTGGCCATCCCTTAAATACAACCAGTATCATCAGTTCCAGGTGTTAGCTGGCAGAAACGTTTTGAGTCTCTGATCTGCTGGGAGCACCCGCTGGCCCACCCCGACCTTGGTACTTGCAGATAAAAGGCAAGGTGAAGTCCCACCACTTGTCTGGCCAGTCCTTACCTAACAGTGAGGGCTGTGTGGCATAAAATTTCCCAAAGGGGCATAAAATGCCCCACCCCCCCCAAAAAGACCCCATTTTTGGGAAAATAGACACCCCAAACTTGTGCTGAAAGGCTGTTGAATCAATGAAAAACTAAAAAACATTTTTTTTTTTTTTCAAAAAAATTGTACTTTAAATTTT